TGAGAGAAGTAGAACGAAAATAAATTTAAAGAAAGAAAAAGAAGTATTTGGGTGTAGAAGTGAAAATGGACGTGGAAACCAGCTGTCACCCACACAGATTATTTAACGGTAACACGTGTACCTAAAAATAAAATATTGGAGGACATGAATTGAAGTGCAATACACAATACTTTTAGTACAATAATGCAAGCAATGTTCGTCCTTTTTAACTATTTATATATAATAGCACCTCGATAAAGAAACCCATCAAATTTCGGAAAGAAATAAACTTGATAAGAAAAAAGAAAAAAAAAACTAAAATGAAAGAGAGCTCACCGAGAAACACTGAAGAAGGACTAATTTGCAATATTGTATGAGGACCAATTTAAAAGAACAGAATTTTGGACAGAGAATATAGCAACAGAAAAGATAATAAAGTGAGAGAAGTAGAAGGAAGATAAGTTTGAAGAAAGAAAGAGAAGTGTTTGGGTGTAGAAGTGAAAATGGAGGTGAAAACCAGCTGTCACCCACATAGATTATCTAACGGTAACACGTGTACCTAAAAAGAAACATTGAAGGACATAAATTGAACTGCAATACATATTACTTTTAGTACAATAATGCAATGCAGTGTTCGTTTATCTTAACCATTTATGTATAATAGCATCTCAATAAAGAAACTCATCAAATTTCGGAAAGAAAAAAGACTTGATAAGCAAAAAGAAAAAAAACCTAAAATGAAAGAGAGCTCACCGAGAAACACTGAAGAAGGACCAATTTGTAACACTAGAGGAGGACCAATTTAAAGGAACAAAATTTTTGCATAGAGAATATAGCAACAGAGAAGATAATATAGTGAGAGAAGTAGAAGGAAGTTAAATTTGAAGAAAGAAAGAGAAGTGTTTGGGTGTAGAAGTGAAAATGAAGGTGGAAACTAGTTGTCACCCATCCAAATTATTTAACGGTAATACATGTACCTAGAAAAGAAATATTGGAGGATACAAATTGAAGTGCAATACACAGTACTTTTAGTACATTAATTCAATGCAATATTCGTCCTTCTTAACCATTTATATATAATAGCATCTCGATAAAGAAACCCATCAAATTTCGAAAAGCAAAAAGACTTGATAAGCAAAAAGAAAAAAAAAAAAACTAAAATAAAAGAGAGCTCACCGAGAAACATTGAAGAAGGACCAATTTGTAACACTAGAGGAGGACCAATTTAAAGGAAGAGAATTTTGCATAGAGAATATAGCAAAAGAGAAGACAATATAGTGAGAGAAGTAGAAGGAAGTTAAATTTGAAGAAAGAAAGAGAAGTGTTTGGGTGTAGAAGTAAAAATAAAGGTGGAAATCAGCTATCACTTTTAGTAAAATAATGCAATGCAATGTTCGTCCTTCTTAACTATTTATATATAATAGAAAAATGTCATCTTAATACGTACGTACGTACCTTGAAAGGGATGTGATATTCACTCAATCCAATCAACTTAAGCTTTAGCAATTACTTTAGATTTTTTAATCACCTCATTATTCGTTATTTAAACTGTTAAGTTTCCATTTAATTCTGACTATGCAATTTCGTAAGAGTTGTTGATTCTAAACTAGAAAAAAATAAAATAGGAAGGATTATGTAGGTCGACTAGTGTAAAGTTAATCTAATAATGATGAATTCTCTGAATATTGAGCTTGAAGAGAATAAATACAACAGATTCACATAATTTATCCAAATTAATTTGGGGTTGAAACCATGTTGACAAGGTTGAAACTAAATTCTTCCTATTCGTTTCAAAACACTTAAAAATGATCTACTGCATCCTGCTAAAGTACCCTTTATCATAGAATTTTTTTTTTACACGTTTAATCCTTTTTTAAATATTATTTAAAAAATAGTATCATTTATTTTTTATTTCATAAAGAGCATTTTTTTTTTATTATTAGTATATTATAAAAATTAAACTCAATATTTAATAAGTTAACTTACTCACTAATCATGGGAAGTATTTTTTTTGTCTATCTCCATTTTCCCTTTCTACTTCACTCCATTTTAAAAATGTAATGCATATGTGAATGCCACCTAAATTCAAGATGTATTGATTTATACATCTTTTATACTTTGTATATCAAGTATCACTTTAATTCAAAATGTGTTTTTATGTATATAATTTTTGTATATTTATTTGTGAAGTGCCATCTTATTTTAAGATGTATTTTTAATGTATATTTCATATATATTTTATATGCCAAGTGCCATTTAAATTCAGGATGTATTTTTTATATATTGTTTTGTATATTTATATGCCATCTTAATTGAATTTAAAATATAATTTTTTATGTATATTTCACATGTCTAAGTGTCATCTTAATTGAAAATATATTTTTATGTATATTTTTTGTGTATTTTATATGTGTTAATTTAATGTATATTTTTTATATATGCGTTTTGTATATATTAACGTATATTATTAACGAAGTAAGATCTTTATATTAAGAAAGGAAGAAAGAAGGAAGAGAAAAACTTAAGAAAGATAATTAAAAAGAAAACGAATGAAACAAATTTAGAAAATATATTAGCTTCGGCAGAAAACAAAATTAAGAAGATGAAGAAAAAGAAGGAAAACTAATAGATAAAGGGAAAAAAAGGCATGATTTTTGTACAAAGTATTATTGATTTTCCATTCAAATTGCTTATGTTTAGGTATTAATAATTAATATTCCTATTTTAATGGAAATGTGTGCTATAAATATAAATATTTTCCTGGCACATCTGTAATATTGGATTTCATATTAAGAATTTGTTATATTTCTTTTAAACTGTGACAGTTATGTAAAGTTTTCTTTATCATATTATATGCAGTTCACTAATTACCCTTCAAAATTTACATTCTCATATAGCTGGCCCAAGCAAGAAGCCCAAGGGAGAGGTCCATAGCCGAAAGAGCATGAGTTTGAGTTAGAAGCCCAAACAAGGAGGAGGCCCATGAACCAAGGTAGTTAGAGAAGAGATTGGAAGAGTTTTCTAGAGGGAAAATGCCCCAATATGTCCATGTATTATGTGAAATTGCTCGATTTTGCTATTCATTATACTTTTGATATATATATATACCTTTTTCGTTAGCAAATCTGTCTCTCGTATCTAATGTGAACGGGTGACTCCATCTGTCCTCAACTTTGAGTCGAGGCCTGCATCGTGTTTATACCTTTTGTCATTTGCCTCTTTTGAACCCTTAGACGTTTCTCTTTTGATGAAATAAAACGAATAGTTTTCTTAAAATATTGCAACTTTATTGACCGCTTCATTTATACTTAGTTTTTTTTTCAGTAAACAAAATGATAAAAATCCGCGTTCTGCGATTGTGACATGTAATAAAACTGTCGAGCGAAACAGGTCGGGCCTTCCCCTCTTAGGCACTCTCTACTCACCTGAATACCCCCCTGTTACACATCTGTCTGGAGTCTAGAACAATCTCTCACCCTGTGCCTGGTATCTCCACACTCGAAGCAACCTCTCTACTGACGTGACTGTAGGAACTGTGCAGTACGGGTACTCTGAGACCCATGAGCACCGAAACACTAGGCGAAGCCTGAAGTGCAAATTAAACTACTGGCTGACTCCACAAAATCTCTACCATGTTGTACCCTGCCTCTAAAATAAGGACCAGTAAATCTCTCCGGTCTGTTAGACTATGGTTTAGAATTATCCTTGTTAGGAGTTAAGGATAAAATGAGAACGTGTTGTAACGGCAAAGCTAAAATTAGTCCAAAATTAAGTATAATTAACAGAGAAAGATTGCTCACTTTTGGATAGTATAGGGTCAACTTGACCATTTTCTATTTTCTAATACATCTTTTGGAGTCAACAACAGGAAATCGGCTTCTTCCCACAGAAACTACAATATTGGTTACAGATTGAAAAGAAGCTCGTACTTACTAACTTGTAAGGTGACTTTTGGTTAGACCTTGTATGTATATATATTAGGAAATCGATTAAATATTTATAAGTTTTTTAATTAAAAGGGAATTTTGGAGTAACGGTAAAGTTGTCTGTACGTAACTTATAGGTTACGAGTTCAAGCTATAAAAGCAGTCACTAATGCTTGCATTAGGTAGGGTATCTACATCACACCCTTTGGGGTGCGTCTCTTCCCCGAATCCTGCGAGAATGCGGGATGATTTATGCACCAAGCAGACGTTTTTTTACTTATAAGTCTTCTAATTGTGAATTCAATAACAAAAACGAGCTATAAATTCGAAAATAAATTCAGAATTTATAAACTTCAAATTCTGATCGATCTCTAAGTACACATGTCATCAGTTAACAGGATGGAAGAATATGAAACAGCCATGTAAAATTTTATGGTGAAACCAACCAACGCCTTTTGAGAATTTTATCCTTCATGAATGTTTATTGCCCTAACTAAACAACCTACATCGAACATGTAATTGTAATTTCTATTTTATATATAACAATGCATGGAAACTACTCAAGCGGGGTAGTTGGGCTGCAGTGCCAGAGACATACGGCGTGTAAATCATATACTCCCTCCGTTTCAATTTATGTGAACTCATTTGACTGAACACAGAGTTTAAGAAAAGAGAGAAGACTTTTGAACTTGTGGTGTAAAATAAATCACATATATTTTGTGTGGCTATAAATCATTGCATAAAGGTAAATTGTTTCTAAATAGAGAAAGGGGTCATTCTTTTTGGCACGGATTAAAAAGGAAATAGGTTCAAATAAATTGAAACGGAGAGTGTATATATTTTTTTCAAAAACTTCAAAAATACTGTATATACAATGGGTCGAATACGATAACACAAAATAAATATCAATATACTCGGACATGAAATATAGCCTTAAATTCAAGTTTTAGACCGGAACGCACTTACAAGTCGAATAGGGAGACATCTAATATGCAAAATCATAATTACTGTATATTATTATACGCGCGACATAAGATTCAATCCATCAATCAGTTTTCCGAATTACAAAACATGAACATCTGAATGAACATAGGATTGAAAATCCTGAGTACATATATACCAGGCCATCATTATATTGCTTGATCCGTAGTTGTTGCATGCCACAAGTAAAAATACATAAAGTGCACTAATTAATTATATAAACTGGAAGATATTAAAGAGAAGACTTAACATAAAAAAAGTGTTGAACTTAGTTGGTTCTCAGTTGTGCCTTGGAGGGTGATGCCTTGGCGATTTATAATCTGCTGTAAATGCAACAAATTCAGCCCTTTCTTTCTTCCCTCCAGATTGCGAGAGTGGACGTCTGCTCATAATTTGTTCACCTTTTACATTTACATTTAAACCCACCCTCTCTTGCTTGGTTGCTGCAATATTAATATCTTCTTTTTGGGATCCTTTCATTTTGTTTCCTCTTGTCATAGCTGCTTCAAGTTCTACACCAGTATTTGCCTATGAAATCCAAAATAAATAACAAATTATAAAATAATAAATTGTGTAATCTAAAAATGTGTAAGCTGAAAATATATCAATATTTATAATAAACCTGTATATATTCACGGATAATGTAAGAAAAAGTTACATTGCTAGATCACCTAAAAGATAATTACATATATTCATTCATCCATAAGAAACTAGACTAACATGGAAAATAAGACAAGGTTATTACATTTGTACAAAAACTTTTTACTATCCGTGTATACGTCAAAACTTTATATGAAATGGGAAAAGAAGCAAATTAAACGAAATGGATGTTTCATTGCAAACAAAACCTCTCTATTTGGTGCTGAATTGCGTCTTTTATTTGCACCACCACCTATACTCAGTTCTCCTGCAAAATATAGGCTATTAAATCCTAGAAGTATAGATTTCTAGTAATACATTTTAGTTCTCAAGAGTAGTGCATCAAAAATGAAATAATGAAAGAAAAACATTTATACCTTGGTAAGAAGTCGTGTTTGGGAGAATATGAGCAATTAAGATTAGGAGTACTAGTAAGCATAAAATCCTAGTAATAGGTAGCATTGTCTTAGCTTTCTTCTTTATTTTGGGGTATGTCTGTTTTTTCAAGTATCTAAAGACAAAGAATGAATGCAAGAATGTAAAGTGATCTTTATAGGGAGAGTACAGAAGTCAAACATATGTTGCAAATACCAAAAACTTCCACGTTTCGCAAATCCCAAGTCAATGAAGAAGACAAGGGTTCCAAATTTTAAACTTCAAATTCACGTTAACAAATTAAGTACGTACATTTACAAAGGGGACCAAGTTAATTTGCATGCATTCCAACGATAAAAGATTTTTCATGAAAATTTGGTGATGATCCATGTGTCAGTCAAGTTACCAGCTCTAGGAATTATCTCGAGATTATTGAGAAATTCTCTTATTCTTTGAGTATCTGGTGACAATAATTTAAGTAAATAAATAGTGTGATTTCTCTAACAATTTACAACAACAACAATAAGGTCAGTGAAATCTTACAACGTGATCTGGGGAGGATAAAGTGTACGCAGACCTTACTTGGCCCCTTCCTAATAAAGATAGAGAGGCTATTTTCGAATGATTTTCAGCTCAAAGAAAGTGAAAATGAAGCAACTTAAATTTTTAAATGAAATATATGGTCACACACTTCTACATGATATCAGAGTGATACAGATCTTGGTTTCGAATCTTATAACCACATATTATTAAAGAATTTCACGTACTTAACTTAACATAAAGAGTCAAGCTCACACGTGAAGGGGCATATTAGAGATATTATAATTAAGTAAAAAATAAATTTTTGCGCTCTCTAACAACTTTAATTTTTAAATGAGATGGTAACACAATTCTGTATTCGAAAAATATTGATTCGATTAATCCAAATTTGCATCGAGGAAGCTTACTATGCAAGTAAACTGCTCTCTATGGAATGGAATTCATTCCAAAAGCTCTAATTAAACTCGAGATCTGCTATTAACCGGGGAGAGGTCTTTATCATTCAACTACAGGGAGGAGTGGCAAACGAGTGGGTCGGGTCAGATATGGGTGGGTCAAAACGGATAAATTATCCGACCCGACCCATATTTAATACGGATAAAAAATGGATTGATCAATATGGATATCCATATTATCCATGACTTCTTGAATATGATCCCTTTTGGGAGAATTCCTAGTCTCCTATACTTAAAGAACCCCCAATTTGAGGCTTTACAATTATAAAAGTTAAACTCATTAGTTATTCATTGGCTAAGTGGATAATATGGTTCTTATTCATATTGTACCCATTTTAAAAAAAATCATTATTCAACCCATTTTTTAATTAATAATATGAGTGGATAACTATTTTATTTTAATCATTTTGTCACCCCTAATTAATAAAATTTGAAGTGAATGAGTGGTTTAATTAGAACCGTTAATTACCGGTGGGGACTCAAACTGTTGGGGGATGAGAAATATTGTACTATAACGTGGAGAGGAAGGTATAAGTGTTTCGTGCTTGTCTGCCGCCATGCACTCAACGAGAAATAACTTTTTTCTGTTTTTTTTTTCCAATGTCTGGATCGCCTCGACTTCACCTTTTGTCATGTTTCTCTTTTGGGAATTCTCTCCGTTGCTAATTTACAAGAGCAAGAGACTGAGATAAAATAAATTAAAGAGGAAATTGACGTGTAAAAGTTGCCATCGACATGGTACTATTGTGTTTGAGTTAATCTAACGTCCATGACTATTTTACATTTTTATTTTGATCTAAAATAAGTGTCAATTTACATCATTAAAATTTGCTTTTACTTACATATTTTAATGTGTTAAGATTATTTTAGTAAATACAATTTTTTTTAGGAGTTTGTATTTCGTTAATTAGTGTGTCAAAGATAAAATAGTCATTTATTGTGGACCGAAAAATACTCTTTTTTTCACCTCACTCAAAAAAAAAAAAAAATTGTATTCTATTGCAAATGAGAATCGATAAGACTGATTTTGAAACCAAGGGGCCAGCAGCGACATAAATTTTGAATCAAGAGAAAAGAGCTCTTTAAACAGAAAAGTGAGCGCTATGTTGAAATACTAGCAATTTATGATGGACTTTAATGAAAACATGGATAACTGAAATGACCACTTCTTCATTGAGTACTGTGGAAATCAAGTTTCCAATACCAATCCATTCATTTATGTCAGTGGGTACTTACTGAAAAAAGTGGGCAGCACTACTCTATATCTACAAAATTTAAAAACTATTACTATTATTTTTAAATTTGATACCTTTAGCATTAATAAAATGACCATTTACTGGAGAGATATTGATGTGGTGAAGATTAAAAAATGTGCAGAAATGTTGAAAGACAGAATACTAAGGAGCGAACAAGCTAAGTATAAGAAAAATTAAACCCAGCTCGTTTCTCGGTCACAAGCTCTTGCCAATGAGGCGGGTTGAAGCCTATGCAGGTCATGATGTATGGCGGGTTATAACAGTGTTTTTAAAAACTTCAGATGTCGCGCCTATGGAGGTCATGTGAAAATGGTATTTGAAATTTAGAGTTGTGTTTGGACATAAATTTCAATTTTGGTTGTTTTTGAAGTTTTGTGAGTGAAAATTTTGAAAAATAGTTTTTTGTAGTTTTTCAAATTTTTGAAAATTTCTAAAATATATCTTCAAGTGAAAATTAAAAATTTTATGAACAAACGCTGATTTCGAAAAAAAAACGAAATTTTTTTGGAAAAATCTTCAACCAAATTTTATGTCCAAACGGGCCCTTAGTAGGCGTTTGGATATAAGAATTGTAAAATTCGAAAAAATAGTGAAATATTTTTTCAAATGAAAATGGTATTTGAAATTTAGAGTTGTGTTTGGACATAAATTCAGTTTGGGTTGTTTTTGAAGTTTTGTGAGTGATTTGAGTGAAAATTTTGAAAAACAGTTTTTTGCAGTTTTTTCAAATTTTCGAAAATTTTCAAAAATGCATCTTCAAGTGAAAATTGAAAATTTTATGAACAAACATTGATTTCGGAAAAAAGTAAAATTTTTTTGGAAAAATCTTCAACCAAATTTTATGTCCAAACGGGCATGGCTTAGAATTTCATCTTCTGTAGGAGGATTGTTCAGACTTCAGAGTTACGTTGTCCTGCATTTCTAACATGGACAACTTCAAGATTATCATTCTGCTACATAAGTCCCTCTTTCTTTCCAGAAAATCTATCTACTTGTGCAATTCTAAACTGAGTTATGCAGGCATTTTCTCAATTTTCAAAGTAAAGAACAAGATTCCAACAGTTTAACATGCACCATCTTTTTGTTCTTACTAGTTTTATTATATATTCCTTGAAATTTACATCTTAACCATTTTGACTTTTAATTGTTAGAAAATTAATTTTGATAACTCAAAAAGATATATTCAAATTGATGTCTACCTTCATTCTTTTAATATTATATTAATATGTCTTTATCATACGGATAAATTTGAATATATTCTGTAACAGATTATTTGATAAAATTGAATTCAATTTTGGCTAACCTGACTATTGAAGTGCTATAGTTATGACAAAACACGTTACTATTTTGGAAAACATCAAATCTGACTACTTGATTAGCTTTAATGGCTTTCATTCTGAAACAGCATTTTGAATAGTCTTTGAATGACTATTATGAGATTTGTACGTTACTATTTTGAAAGTCAAAATATAACGTTTGTTTAATCTTAATGGATTTATTTGTTGCCGTTTCTTATTAGCATATCCACTTTTGGACTATATAATTCCATTAACATTCACTTTGAAAAGAGTAGAAAAAGTGTATGAAAAAGAAAGTAAAACTTTTCTTCTAAATTACTTGGGTTTTATTTTGTTTAAGCTTTGTTATTTCTACTCCTAGTTATACTAGAACAGCTTGTTGAATCCTGAGGATACACCTAATTTTATTTATTCGGTGTGGGCGAAATATCTTTAAGGACAATGTCCTTGACACGCCTCAAGCTAAATCTTATTCTCCATAATCCAATATTTGTCCAACAATCTTAAGGATATTTCTACGTTGTTATTATGGAGGATAACGCTGCTAATGTTGTTGTTGATGCTACTACACCCGTTGCATCAACTGTTTCTGTTGTTGTTCCAACACCAATATTACCTATGCCAAACCTTTTCCTGATGTATCAAAAATTAAGGTTTTTGGTGGATATAATTTTAAGCGCTGCCAGGAACACATGCATTCTATTTTGGATACGCATGGAGTTGCTTTTGCACTTATTGATCCTAAGCCAACTGAAGCAACTTCCATTCAGATGGATCAATGGGTTCATGCTAATAAGGTATGTAGACATACTATAATTTATATTCTTTCTAACGAATTATTTGATGTCTACATTTTCTACAAGGAGACAAAAGAAATTTTGGAGTCAATGATAACAAAGTACACTGCGAAGATGCTACCAAACAGAATTTGTAATTGAAAACTACTACAAGTGGGAGATGACGGAGGACAAGGACATAACCGCACAAATCAACGAATATCACAAGCTGATTGAAGATCTTAAGTCAAAAGAAATCTCTCTGCCAGAACAGTTTGTTGCTGGTATGCTTATAGAAAAACTTTCCAAATCCTGGAGTGACTACAAACAACAATTGAAACACAAACACAAGCAGCTGTCGCTGAAGGACTTGATCAAGCATGTTATAATTGAAAATACTAACCGCAAGTAAGATGTAGCTGACAAAGGAAAGGAAACTGCTACAAGAGCTAACTTTGTAGAGGACAACAAGCAGAAGAACAAATCAAACAACAGGTATGACAAAAGAAATGATTATAAGCCCAAAACTAACAATCAAACCTTCAAGAAAAAAGGCAACTATTTTGTGTGTGACAAACCTGGCCACCATGCTGCTCAATGTTGGAAAAGGGCTGGGAATGGCAATCTCGCTAAGGCTAAAATAAATTTAACTGAAGCCAAAACGGATGACATAATTGTTACAGTTATTTCCCAAGTGAACCTTGTGGCCAATGTGAAAGATTGAGTGTTAGATTCTGGTGCCACTAGGCAAATGCCAACAAAAAATACTTTGTGTCTTACAACCAAATTGAGGAAAGAGAAGAGGTTGTATATCTTGGTGACTCAAGGACTACTTGTAATACCTTATATTTTTTTATAAGGGTATATTGGTCATTACTAAAATAATAATAATAATAATAATAATAATAATAATAATAATAATAATAATAATAATAATAATAATAATAAGAAGAAGAAGAAGAAGAAGAAGAATAAACTAACTAATAAAAACAAAACAAATAAAAAAAAAGGGATAAGTAAAGAAAAGGACCGAAGCCCATTTGCCAAAAGAAAGGGGAAAAAGGTAGCTTGCTGCTAAGACAAACAGAAGCTACAAAGGGTTTTAGAAAAAAAAAAAAGAATTTGAACGAAGCAGAAAGCTTCAGTAAACGAAAAAACAAACAAAAACGAGCAGAGGAAGAAAGAAAGAAAAGAGAAAAGAAGGAGGAAGAAGTTGGCGCAGTGCGTTGGAACCATAGCTATAACTGTTGAGTAATCTTAAGTACTGACTGAGTCTTACGGGTAATAATTGAGCTTCTTCTTCTAGTATATTTTAATTTCGTTTCCAATGATCGGAAGGTTCTACAGAGTAATAGAAATTACACTAGTTCATTCACGTAATTGAGAATTTTCTTCCTGAAGAATCCATAGAACTTTATGAAATTGGGTTAATAAATCATATGAATAGGTTGGAGTTGATAGATTAGTAATTACTCATCCCGTGGGTAAATATAATTCGGCGAATGAGGAGTCAAATATAAAACCTCGAGGGTTGGGCATTCTAAATTAGCTATGAATTAGCTTAAATATGGAAATTAATATGAGATGGATATTATGTAATTATAGATTGATTGGAGGAAGTTGAACGAATTGCTCGAGGTGAAGCATTTGGTATTTCGGCACGAGTACTGTGAGCAGTAATCTTACCGCAATTTGTGTTTTCATATCTTGCATGATTTACACATGGTTTTTAATATGAATACGTTACCGATTATTTTGATTTGCATGTGGGACAAGTCTTTTACTGGATATGATACCGAAATAATTATTTGAGATGATTACCATTGTTTTAAATATTTCCGTTGTCACTAGATCTGTTTTACCGTTACTTGAATTTACTATTATCGAAATAAAATTATATGATTTGATAAGAACCAAAATTCCCTATATTATTTTAAAATATTTTTCTATGAGTATACGGATACAGAAACAAGTATAAATGGGAGTAGACTTTGAAGGATCCCGTAGCTAACGGCGGGTTCGTTAGACCTGGTGCACCCTGTAATTACCGATTACCGTTATAACCCTCGCTAGTGGGAAGGTATAACTAGCATACCGTTACCGATTTTTCTCGAGTAGGGACTATCGTTATATTTTACTTTTTGCGAAGAAATCCACAATTATACCGATTACATGATCCGTTCATTGAAACCTCCCAAATATGAATATTGATATTATATAGTGGTTACCGAGCTTATTATTGAATTGTTAATTGTATTATACTACAAGAAAAATATGATGAGACTGAAAATTATTTATTGTTTCTGAAAGGGCATTTTTATGTTATTTTCTGTTTGATATACTAGCATTGTTATGGTCTTTTCTTTGAACTCTTAGAGTCTCTCCATAGTCATTCTTTTAGCGTCATGAGTATCCTTTTGTTATTATAGACTTATGATGAGGATTGCACTTTCTTATCAAAATTGAAGATAAATTAGTATTTCTGATTGTTAGTAGGTTGATTAGTAATGGTGGAGACTTATTTTGGTTAATTGATAAGTTCTCGATTGTATGGTTTGATATTAGGATGGTTGGTTGTTAATTTTGAGACAGAAAAATTTTTGGATATCCCAAAAACAGGGGAAACTCTGTTCGTTTTTTCAGTAAAATACCGATGAGGATTACTTAAGGGCACTTGCTCCTAAGTGCCGGTCCTAAATTGGGTCGTGACAAAGTTGGTATCAGAGCTTAGACTTTAAGTCCAGGGTCATGGAGCAATGTTTAGTAGAGTCTTTTTCATGGGTATGTAGGCACCCATACTTATGATTTTGAGGCTACTGAACATCTAGGAATGTTTTTCCTTCTTTCATTCTTGATCGTGCGTTGAGATAACTTGATATTTGACTTTGGAGTATTTCTTTTGCAGATGGCTAGGACACGCACACCCTCATCTGCTGGACGTGGTGCTGGACGTGGTACTAACGGGGTGGAGGTCAAGTTGGGGTTCATCAAACTAAAAGACAGGCTGCTTCTCAACCTGAAGTTAGGAATATGGGTCAACCCCAAGATACTATGTCAGATCAAGTACAAGAACATGGGGTTCAGGATGCTCCATCACTAGTGCCAACTGTTGTACCTACTGTTGCCTTACCTACATACGCAGTGGCAAGGTTATTGAATGTGTTAGAGGCATTGGTGCCTACTCAGGGTGGAAGTTCAGCTCCTTAGGCTACTTTGCAGACACAAGCACCTGCACAGACTCATACTTTCGAAAATAAGGAAGTATCCCTACAAGAGTTCCTAAAATTGAAATCACCAAAATTCACATGTTCTAATAATTCAGCAGATCCTCAAAGTTTCTTGGATGGGACACTCAAGGCATTACGTGCTCTAGGATGTTCTAATGAGAGAGCCGTGGAGCTCGCAACATACAAACTAGAGGATATGGCCAATACATGGTATGAAACTGTGTTGCTAGGAAGGCCAGCAGGAGCAACACCACTAACATGGGACAAGTTCACTAAGTTGTTCATGAATCATTTTCTTCCAGACAGCCTGATGCAAAAATATGCTAGAGACTTTGAGAGATTGGTTCAGACTCCAGATATGAATGTGTCAACATATAACACCAAGTTTTGTAAGTTGGCTAGATATGCTCTTTATTAGTGCCTACCGAAGAAGCTCGAGTTCAGAGGTTTGTTGATGGGTTGGTTGGTCATCTATACACCACAATAGCCCCACAGATGAAGACTTTGTCCTACTCTAATGCAGTCAATCTCGCTAGAAAGAAAACAAGGGATGTGAGGAGCTTGAAGCTAGTGATTTACGTAAGAAGGCCAAGATAGGGGGATCTTTTAGTGGCAGTTTTGATGAAAATCGCAGAGCAGGAAGTCAGGGACAGCAGCAACAGGGTTCTCAGACAGGGACACACTTGTCTTCACAGTCCACATACAAGCCACATTACAGACAGGGTACTAGGGGACCATCATCATCTGGACATCGTAATTCTGGGAAGATATATGCCACTACTCCAGTCTGTCAGACTTGTGGTAGATCACATTTGGGCCAGTGTCGTGTTTTGACTAGAGAGTGCTTTCGGTGTGGCCAGTTGGGATATCACTTGAGGGATTGCCCTCAGCCTCCGAGGAATTTTAGTCAAGCTTCTATTCAGTCATCTGCACCTACTTAGACCACTCGTAATACTTCAGGTGCTATAGGTATAGGAAACAAAGGTCGAGGTGCTGGAGATCGTGCTACTGTGAATCAAGGACATGGGAATACTGGTAGAGGACAGGCGCGAGTTTTTGCATTTACTAGACAGGATGCTCAGGCCTCGAATGTTGTGGTTACAAGTATTCTTTCTGTCTGTTCATTTGATGCACTTGCGTTGATTGATCCGGGATCTACTCACTCCTATGTGTCCTCGTACTTTATTTTGAGGTTTAGTAGACAACCTGAGCTATTGAATGATCCTTTTCTAGTTTCTACTCCTGTTGGAGAGTCTCTATTAGCTGAATACGTGTATCGTGCTTGCCAGATTCAGGTTGAGGGTAGAGATACTCTAGCTAACCTTATTGTACTTGATATGATTGACTTTGACATGCTGATGGGAATGGATTAGTTATCTTCTTGCTATACTATCGTCGATTGTCATGCAAAGCTAGTTAAGTTTGAGATACCAAACGAACCTAGTTTTGTTCTAAAAAGGGGTCAGGTTCTAGAGACTTACAAAGTTGTATCTTTTATGAAGGCTCAACGACTTCTGAAGAAAGGTTGCTTGGGTCTCTTAGCTATTGTAAATGACACAAGAAAGGAAACAGTTAGTATAGAAAATGTACCGATAGTGAGAGAGTTTTCTGATGTATTTCCTGAGGATTTACCAGGATTGCCTCCAGTATGAGAAATAGATTTTGGTATTGATTTGCCACCTGACACACAACCCATATCGATACCCCCATATCGGATGGCACCAGCAGAGTTGAGGGAGCTAAAACAATAGTTGTAGGATTTGCTAGATAAGGGTTTTATAAGACCTAGTGTATCACCATGGGGTGCACCAGTACTGTTCGTAAAGAAGAAAGACGGATCACTGAGAATGTGCATTGACTACAGGTAGTTGAACAAGAAAATAATACGCAATAAATATCCTTTGCCTCGTATAGATGACATGTTTGATCAGTTACAAGCAGCTGCCCACTTTTCAAATATTGACCTCCGTTCTGGTTATCATCAACTTAGAATCAAAGATGAAGATATTTCTACGACTGCTTTCAGAACTCGATACGAGCACTATGAGTTTCTTGTGATGCCTTTCGGACTAACTAATGCTCCAGCTGCATTCATGGATTTAATGAATAGGGTGTTCAAGCCATTTTTGGATAGATTTGTCATAGTATTTATTGATAATATCCTGATATATTCTCGTAGCCAAGGAGAACACGAGAATCATCTCAGGACTGTGTTGCTGACATTGCGAGAACATCGGCTTTATGCTAAGTTCTCAAAGTTTAAATTTTGTATAGACTCAGTAGCATTTCTAGGGCATGTTAAATCCAAAGATGGAATTATGGTAGATCCTAAGAAGACAGAAGTTGTGCAGAAATGGCCCAGACCTACTTCTCCTATAGAGATTCGTAGCTTTTTAGGCTTGGCAGGCTATTACAGGCATTTTGTGCAGGATTTATCCAGAATAGCAGCGCCGCTGACCAACCTAACACAGAAAAATGCAAAGTTTCAGTGGACGCAGGAATGTGAGCAGAGCTTTCAAAAACTCAAAACTTGTTTGACAACTGTACTAATATTAGCCTTACCATCAGGTTCCGGAGGATTTACGGTGTTCTGTGATGCATCGAGGGTGGGATTAGGATGTGTTCTCATGCAAAATGGTCGCGATATTGCTTATGCTTCGAGACAAATGAAAAAGCATGAGCAAAACTATCCTACACATGATTTGGAGATGGCTGCATTGGTATTTGCTCTAAAAATTTGGAGGCATTATCTATATGGCGAAACTTGTGAGATATATACTGACCATAAAAGTCTGAAGTATATCTTTCAGCAGAGAGATCTGAATCTTCGGCAGCGTCGGTGGATGGAACTACTCAAAGACTATGACTTTTTTGTTTTGTATCATTCTGGAAAAGCTAATGTGGTGGCTGATGCATTGAGCAGAAAATCTATGGGGAGTTTGGCATATATAGCTCCTGCAAAGAGACTTTTGGCCAAAGATATTCAGAGACTAGAAGATACAGGTATCATATTTGGTGTCGGAAATTCAGAGGCATTGTTGGCTTGTGCTCAGGCTAAGTCTTCATTAGTTGAGCGCATTACGGCCACCCAATATGAGGATAAGCGATTATGCAAATAAAGAGATGAAGCCTTAGCTGGTAAAAGCAAGGATATGATTGTTGAAAGTGATGGTGTTCTTCGATTGGGTGACAGGCTATGTGTAGCAGACGTAGATGGGTTGAGACATGCTATTCTTGAAGAATCCCACAACTCTAGATACACTATACATCCTGGATCTACAAAAATGTATCATGACCTAAAGCAATTTTATTGGTGGGAAGGTATGAAGAAAGATATTGCTAACTTTGTTTCTAGTTGTTTGACTTGTCAGCAAGTCAAGGCTGAGCATCAGTGACCAGCAGGACTACTACAACAAATTGAGATTCTGGAGTGGAAATGGGAAAAAATTACTATGGATTTTGTCACCGGGCTACCACGAACCATTATAGGTTATGCCTCTGTATGGGTGATTGTAGATCGACTGATGAAATTAGCATACTTTTTGCCAGTGAAGACTACATAGGGTGGAGTGAGGTATGCACAGATATTTATGAACGAAAATACCCGACTTCACGGAGTTCTAATATCCATCAACTCTGATAGAGGATCACAATTTACCTCACACTTTTGGAAATCTTTTTCAAGAAGCATTGGGTACACGAGTAGAACTTTGCACTGAATTTCATCCATAGACAGACGGGCAGTCTGAACGTACTATACAGATCTTGGAGGATATGTTGAGAGCTTGCATTCTTGAGTTTGGAGGTAGTTGGGATGCTTATCAACCTTTAGCTGAATTTTCTTACAACAATAACTTCCAGTCCAGTATTCAAATGGCACAGTACAAAGCATTGTATGGTAGAAGATGTCGTTCTCCTATCGGATGGTTTGAAGCTGGTGAGACTATAACGACCCGGCCGGCCATTTTGAGTATTACAAGCCTGTTTACTGCTCAAATTGTACTTCACAGTTGTTGTGTGAATTGCCGGGGTAAATGGTTCAGGTCCGGTGAGGTTTTGGAATGAATTGGACTACTTAGTTCCAAGGTTTAAAGCTTAAGTTAAAATAGTGACTGGATGTCAACTTATGTGTAAACGACCCCAGAATGGCATTTTGATGATTCCAATAGCTCCGTATGGTGATTTTGGACTTAGGAGCGTGTCCAGAAAATTATTTGGAGGTCCGTAGTGGAATTAGGTTTGAAATGCCGAAAGATGAATTTTTGAAAAGTTTGACCGGGGGTTGACTTTTTGATATCTGGGTCAGAATCTGATTCTAGAAATTGGAATAGGTCCGTAATGTGAAATGTGACTTGCGTGCAAAATTTGAAGTCATTCCGGATTGATTTGATGTGTTTCGGCACAAAATATAAAATTTGAAGTTTCAAAGTTCAATGATTTCAAATTGAGGTGTGATGCATCGTTTCGATATTGTTATGTGTGTTTTGAGGCCTTGAGTAGGTCCGTGTTATATTATGGGACTTGTTGGTATGTTCGGACGGGGTCCCGAGTGACTCAGGTGAGTTTCAGACGAGGTTCAGAGCATTTTGGAAGTTTTGGCTAAGGCTGGAATTTTTCTGTTGCTAGGGCGTAATTTCGGATTTTGTGGAAAATATTAGCATTTTGATATGGAATTAAATCCTATAAATTGTGTGCACTGAATCAAATTAATTGTTGTAGATTCGAGCCGTTCGGGAGTTGATACACGCATAATGGGATTTCTGGAGCATTGTTTAGCTTGCTCGACATTAGATTCGGCTTGTTCGACGTAAGTAACTCTTCTAATCTTGGAGCTGAGGGTATGAACCCTGAATATATGTATTATGTTAATTATTGGGAGGTAACGCACATGCTAGGTGACGGGCGTGTGGGCATGCACTATAGAAATTGTAACATAATTGTTTCTGTGGAATTTTGTAGTTAAATGATCTTGGCATTTTCCATGCAGTTTTATGTGTTAAAGAAATTGAGCTGGAAAGCATAATAAAAATCACGTTGAGGCTATGTGCCGGTATTATTGGGACCCACAGAGGTCATATTGCTGTGAATTATTTATTTTAAATTGAAAATTTATACTCAGTCATATTCATGTCTTTACACATCATATCTCAGTCTCTGTTGTTATTTATTGATACATCATATCATCCTTTTTGGGCTATTTTTATGGCATTGTGAGCCCATGAGAGAGAGACTGGAGAGATTGATTGCCGAGTGAGACCGAGGGCCTGATTGTGAGGATTATTATGTAGATCGGGGCTGCCCGCCTGCAATAGGCCTTATAGGCTTTATTATAGCCCGTGAGTTGTCCGTGCGGATCCAGATATTATTATAGCACGTGAGTTGTCCGTGCGGATCCAGATATGATATTATAGCACGTGAGTAGTCCGTGCAGCACGTGATTTGTCCGTGCTTATAGCGTTTGGGCTGTAGGAGCCCCTCATGAGTCTGTACACACCCTAGTGAGCGCAGTCGACTATAAACAAGGATCGGGCTACATGCCGCAGCAGGTATTGTATAGCGCTGAGTGATTGAGTGTGCTGAGCATAGTGAGAGAGAATGCGAGACAATGAGATTTAGTACTCTGAGAGTGCGAGTACATGATTACAATGTCTGAGATACATTGCATTGACATGCACACATGACATATATGCATAGAGATGTGTTTTTCTCATGTTGTATGGTATCACATTATTCATAATTTCTCACACATGTTGACTCATGGGCATAGTGATGCATTTGTTTTACACTGGTTATCTGGAAAGAAAATGAGATATTTTATTTATTATTGAAAGGATTTTGGAAAAATTACTGTTTTCAAACTTATTCATATTTTTGGTCGGTAAATGATTTGGGTTTTCATTAATGTACTTGAAAGACAGAACTATTTTCAGAAGTCATGATTTAGCTGAGCATTTATTCTTTGAGTTACTTCTCATATTACTTGTTCAATATTGTTATGAACTATTGTTGGTTATGGAAGTTGTACTCTGACCTTGGTACAAGCTCGTCACCACTTTCAACCTAAGGCTAGGTTTGTTACTTACTCAGTACATGGGGTCGGTTGTACTGATACTACACTTCTGCACATTGCGTGCAGATATTAGCTACCATTGTTGCTGTGTTCGATAGTTGCCGAATTTGAAGATGTACCTGCATTCCTGTTATAGCTGCCTCTTGTTCAGGGTAGCCTTAGATTTATAAAAGCTCTGTTTATGTATTATTTAAACAGACTATGTATTTATTTCATTTTCACTTTGTATACTCTATGCTTAGAAGCTCATGATTTGTACTACCAATTCTTGGGGGATGTATAAGATTAAGATCTTTATTCACTTAAATTGCTTTAATAATTTTTATTCGAATTGGATAATTGAAAGTCGGCTTACCTAGCGGGTTGAGTTAGGTGTTATCACGACTAGTTGGATTTTGGGTCGTGACAGAGACTAACTTATTGGGACCTGACTTAGTACAAGAAGCTATGGACAAAATCTAGTTGATCAGACAGAGATTGCTTACAGCTCAAAGCAGACAAAAATCTTATGCGGATAAGAGAAGAAGAGACTTAGCGTTCACAATTGGAGACAAAGTGTTCCTACGAGTCTCTCCTATGAAAGGTGTGATGTGGTTTGGGAAAACAGGAAAACCGAGCCCCAGGTTTATAGGACCGTATGAGATACTAGACCGAGTGGGAGTTGTGGCTTATCATCTGGCACTTCCTCCTAAGTTGTCCTTTATTCATCCAGTGTTTCATGTATCAATGCTAAGAAAATATATATCAGACTCATCTTAGGTGCTTGAAGTACCTACTATACCGATTGATGAGAAGTTGTCTTACGAGGAGGAGCTGATGGCTATTGTTGATAGGAAAGTAAGGAAGCTACGGTCAAAAGAAATTGCGTTCGTGAAAATATTATGGAGAAATTATACCATTGAAGAAGCTATTTGGGAAGTAGAAAAAGATATGCAAGCGAAGTATCCCCATTTATTTTAGTCTAGAAGGTATGCACTTGTTGCAAATTCAGGGACCGAATTTCATAAGGTGGGGATGATGTAATACCCTATATTATTTTATAAGGGTGTATTGGTCATTAGAAAATAATAATAATAATAATAATAATAATAATAATAATAATAATAATAATAATAATAATAACAAGAAACTAACTGATAAAAACAAAATAAATCAAAAAAAAGAAAAAAAAGGATAAGTAAAGAAAAGGGCCGAAGCCTATCTGCCAAAAGAAAGGGGAAAAGGGCAGCTTGCTGCTAAGACAAACAGAAGCTACGAAGGGTTTCAGAAAAAAAGAAGAAGAATTTGAACGAAGCAGAAAGCTTCAGTAAATGAAAAAAACAAACAAAAATGAGCAGAGGAAGAAAGAAATAAAAGAGAAAAGAAGGAGGAAGAAGTTGGCGCAGTGCGTTGGAACCATATCTATAACTGTTGAGGAATCTTAAGCACTGATTGAGTCTTACGGGTAATACTTGAGCTTCTTCTTCCGGTAGATTTTAATTCTTCTATAGAGTAATAGAAATTACACTAGTTCATTCACGTAATTGAGAATTTTCTTCCTGAAGAATCCATAGAACTTTATGAAATTGGGTTAATAAATCATATGAATAGGTTGGAGTTTATAGATTAGTAATTACTTATCCCGTGGGTAAATATAATTCGGCGAATTAGGAGTCAAATATGAAACCTCGAGGGTTGGGTATTCTAAATTAGCTATGAATTAGCCTAAACATGGAAATTAACATGAGATCAATATTATGTAATTATAGATTGATTGGAGGAAGTTGAACGAATTGCTCGAGGTGAAGCATTTGGTATTTCGGCATGAGTACAATGAGTAGTGATCTTAACGCAATTTGTGTTTTCATATCTTGCATGATTTACACATTATTTATAATATGAATACGTTACCGATTATTTTGAGTTGCATGTGGGACAAGTCTTTTACTCGATATGATATCGAAATAGTTATTTGAGATGATTACCATTATTTTAAATATTTCCATTGTCGCGCCCCTTTCTTTCTCACGAAATCGGGCTTCGACACGTGACAACTCTTTTAAGGAAGGG